GCTTTATTGCTCAGTCTAACTCCTGCTGATACATTTGTTTACCAGTTAGTTATCTTACAATTAGATGAAGTCTTCTCCCACTTCTAACATATTCTGTACTCTTTGTTATACTATATGACTCAACTGAAAAACACAAGCTATCATCAGGCTTTAAACAGTCTTCATAAAAAACAGACCCAAATGATAAATCATAATATGGCAGCAATTGTAAGAAAAATACCAACAAAGTGAAGTAGTGCAGGCATTTCGGGGGCCTTTTGTTATGAGAAGCAAAAGCTTGACACTGTCACTTTAAGAGAGAAGGCCTCTGCTCCAACCATTAATAATTGTAATGCCTTTTTATCATTGTTGAGGATAATGAACGGATGAGAATCATATGGGGGCCCCAGACCATACTTTGCCCTGAAATGTTTTCAATTAACTTTTGGCACCAAAGGAAATAGGAATGTTTTTTTTTTTTCCAATAGCGAAACAGAAAAGAGTCAACTGGGGCCTTTGGTGCAGGGACCAGAACATCATTAAAATTGCCTCATCATAACTCACAGTGGTGCTTGGCCCACCTCCCCTCTACCCCGCCCCAAACCGTCCTCCTCTAGGTTACACCAAGGAAAAACAGGCAGCCCTACTTTGGATAGTTTTTGCAGACAATATATTCTCTCTGTTGGCCACTGGTGCAATGGGAGTGTTACTCACTATTTCCCCCTACTACGTCATTTTATTATCACAGTGAATGTACATTAAAATGACTACAAAAGCTTTTGGGAAGAGAAATTATTTGGGACTACTTGCAAAACAGTTTGATGCCAGATAATTGCTTGAGTTAGGTTAATACAATGGCAATGCAATAACTCCCTCTTTCTTAGTCCCTGCGGAACTTTATACAACTTTTTAAAAACTACTCTGCCGCCAGACTGACTTTTTCCTGTTGAGCCTCTTTGGAAACTGCCTTTCATGGAATCAAGAGAACTGGCTCTAATTTCTACTTTTAACCCATCCTAGTACCAGGAGCAGTGGGCAGCTATTGCACAACCTTCTGTATGAGGTTTAAAGTTTATTCATGACCTTGGAAACTTATGCTGGAACTTTTTGGGACTTCGTTTTGTCATTTTCTCTCAACTTGTTATATCACAGACCTTCGTGCAAATAGTGGAGTAGTACTGTCATGACCATTGCAGTTGTGATCTATGATGTTAGTGTTGGATTTCTTCATTGTTAGATTTTACTATCATTTTTTGGAAAGGAAAATAATTTAAAACATGTTTGCTTATCCCAGCAAATCAAATGTTTAAATCTTTCTGTTTGTATCTTTTTCAAATCATCATAGAAGTAATATTTAGTTTTCTGTTGGTCGGACAAAACAAAAAATCGTCTCCTTAGTCTTATCAAACTTGTATAAAGCATTTGTTTTCTATGTTCTTATATAATAAATAATAAATTCAATTTATTTAGCGCTTCTCATCTGCCAAGACAAATCCCGAAGCGCGTATTATTATTCTATATCTTATAGAATAAATGATAAGTCTATTAAAAAAAAACTAACCATTTATTGAAGCTCTATAAGATCTTAGCTTAGAAGAAAATACACCCATTTGGCAACTGTCATTCCCTTAAAAAATAACTGTCTTGAAACAAGACTAAATTACTTTTGCTGAACAGTGACTACTTTCCCCAAAAGATACTGATAGATAAATATCCTGTGGTTTTCTAAATGAACCATTGAAATGTCTATGTGTAAGATGTGATAAACATAGTGTATCAGTATAGAGGGTTGAGGGAACTGTTATTTAGTGACTCATCAGTATCTAAAGTTAGCTCTAAATTAGCCACCATTAGGTCATACTCATACCGTACAAAATCAGACTGTAGAAGTCAAAACTTCTGAGTATATTGGATTTAGCACTTTTAAACATGGTGTCATAGGCTACTTGGAGTTCTGTATTGACCGAAAATAAACAAACTTAGCCAAAGTGAAGTGAAAAACCCCAGTGACCCACAATAATTGAAGTCTGGGGGGTGGACTTGAGGCAGGCCGTACCCTGAGCTTTTTGAGAGGTGGGAAAGGTGGAGGAGGGGTTGATTTATGATTGAGGTTTAATGGGGGAAGGGAATGGTATGGGAGAGGGGCTGCGCTGGGTTGAATGTCAGGGATTTCGAGCCTCTGAATAATGATGCAAAGAGGGAATATTTAATCAGCCAATCAGATTCTCTATCTGCCATGGCTGCATAGGAGTTGTCCGTTATTTTCCTCCCCTGATTCCCTCCTGCATCCAAAGGTGGCCTCCTGGTGTAAGGTTTTAGGGAGTGAGCGAAGAAGAGGAGGAGGGGGAACACAAAACATAGCTGACAAGGGGGCATAACTTCATTTCCACGGTGCTGGGGCAGCTGTGTGGAGTAATCTGCCGTAGCAACCCTCTAAAACTTCAATGCCTTTAGTGACCCAGGGAAGTGGGGAGGGGGCACCTCCAACTGTGTCCAGGCGTTTAGGAGTGCGAAGGGGCTCCTTTCACACCCTTCTAAGGGCTTTTGTTGAAAAAATATCCCTTACCACTTCTTCATAGAAAGCAGGGACTATATGTTTATGAGATGAGACAACAATGGTTCTCCTTTTGAGAGCTAACCGTGAATTCATTTTCTGACCAGTTGCAAAGCAAGGAATTTTAGGATTTCTAAAGTTTTTAAAGTTAAAACAACTTCATGTTTTCTGTTTGCCTACATATGTTACCCATTTTAAGATGTTTATATTTTTCGGGACATTATTTAGAAAATAAGTTGTTCAGATGTTCAAATTCAGATGCGTTTCACCCACTTAATAGAGCAGGTCTATATTTGAACAATAAACTCATGTATCACAAGTTTCTGACTTTTGAGATCATGTTATCTTTACATTTTCACTTGTTACTCAGTTTCTAGTATGAGGTAATATTAGTAAAAAGAGAATTGGGCAGTCTATCGATGAAGAGGGGTTCATTATTTTGTGCTAACTGTTCTGTTGAAGGCTGAAGAAAGAACAAAACATTTTAGGCTAAGATAATGGCCCGAGGCTGAGGTGCTGTCCGGAGTGAATGGGGTCTCCCTGGAGCTCAATAAGGTCCCAAAGTTTTACTCCATTATGCTGACATCCTAAAGGCCAGGGGGTGCCACCCCCAATGGTTACCTCTCAAGTATGCATTCATCACCCCCCACCACACACACACACACACACACACACACACACACACACACACACACACACACACACACACACACACACACACACACACACACACACTCACACTCACACTCACACTCACACTCACACTCACACTCACACTCACACTCACACATACACATACACATACACATACACATCACAATTCAGATTTTGCGAGCATATTTCCCTTTTACAGGTCTGTGCACATTCCTATATTGTGTGAGACTGTCAGCAGTTTGCCTCAAAGCGTCCTCTGGCAGGAGGATCTCCAGCCATGCCTGCAGTGTTGGAGCTAAAGGACTAAATCCATGAGCAAACATGGATATCAAAGGCTGTTTAGCTAAGCAAATATGACATTCATCCTTTTTGTCCATTATGAGAGCAACTTTACAAGCATGAAAGCCATATCACAATGGTAATGATTTTAATAAACCCTTTTATCAATAGACACTTTATTATCTACACCTGTCTTTTTCTAATATTAAAGATATAGACTCTATCTCCCATTGCTCCCCGGGCGCTGTACAATAGCTGCTCACTGCTCCTGGTACTAGACTCCTGGTTCTAGACTCCTGGTTCTAGGGTGGGTTCAAAGTAGAGAACACATGTCACTGTGTGCTGTGTGCTCTGCATGTGTGATCATTAAAGAGGGTTTCATCCCTCCAATTCTTCTTCTTCTATCTTTATTTCAAGTTCTTGCTGTTTGTTTTAGACCTTTAACGATTTGTCCCAGCATAAGTTGACCATATAAATTCCGTTAATTCGAAGCAGATTCATAGGCATATGTGAAAGTGCTTTTAGGAACAGTAAATACATAAAAATGCACATGTTTTGTCATGTTTATGTCCAACACCTTAATCTCTCGTTGTCCTCTGTACGTTTTCTGTCCTCCCTGTTTCTACTCATCTGGTTCTCATTTGCAGAGCCTGGAATGTGTTCATGCTTTTAAAGATGAGTTATTAGCCTATTAGTATGTACCTCAGACAAAACTATTATAACTCAACTTATGTGGCGAGACACTCTGTTTGTAGTCAAATATCCACAACTTTGTTTGGATCTAAATGGACTATAAGACTGACTGATTAATGATTAAATAGGACATGCGTTTGTTGATATGTAGTGTTGGTGAAAATATGTTCCTGGGCCCACAACTTTGACCCAGTTCATCAGTTTGTCCTGCCCTCACTGAGCACAGGCTTGCAACCATCCGCTGCTGTGCTCTGTGTTCTGTCTCCCTGTTCCTGCCTGTTGGCGTCAGCTGATAGAGGTGTTATAGAGCTTCATCTTGTTATGCACAATGTTGATTATTCTCTCAGAACTAGCTAAATGCATGGGTCTAGGGTAAAGATCTTCAGAATTGGTTTGGCAACCGCTATGTCAACTCCACATGTCTTGTGAGTTCTCCGGCCGAACCTCCAAATAAACCATCAGTGTTTGCCATCAAAGTTCCTGCTCTCCCTGTGTCTCTCTGAGTTTCGTCTCCATTGCTTCAGAAGTTTCCATCACATGTAGCGCTGTAAAAGATCAGAGACTTTTGAATGAAATTATTTGGGGAAAGACTTTAAAATAGTTTACTGTTCGACAATAGAGCAGGTGTGATTCAAATGTACAGTATAGAGCAGAGGACTGTAGCAGCATCTTTAATACATTGTTACACTTGATATTTGTGTTGTAGCTGTTAACTTTCCTTAAAATTAGTAACAAAAAACATATAAATCCCAAAACTAAACAGAAAAATCTGTCCACATATAAAAAAACTCTGATTTTATGAACCATATTATCAATTACTACCGTCAAGATGGCTCTTATCTCCTAACTAAGCATGTTAAGACCAAAATGTTCCTTTGTTTTTATCTCTAAGACATAAAGGGTCTGTGTCAATGTGTGTGTCAGAGACATTGTTGACATGTATGTTCTCAGCAGTGTTCTTCACTCTTGATGTCTCCTCTGCACACGGCCACAGGAAGCCCGTCGGTGTTACAGCTGCGTGTCCTGGCCCGCTTCGCCCCGCTACAACTGGACCAGCCGGACCAGCAGGACCAGTTACCCTCCTGATTCACAGCAGGAGCTGCAAAACATTTCCCAAAGGTTTAATGTAATGACCTAAAGGGACATTAAGGCCTTGTTGGTAAGTGTGGTACTGGTTCTGTTTACCCTTACCTGGGGGTTTAGACTTGAAATTCTGGCAGGCCATGCCTTCAAACAGGGGGGGGCACAGACAGATACACTTCCCATCCAGCAGAGCAAGAGTGCCTCCGTTATGACAAGGCTTACACTTGCACACGTTGTACTCTGCCACGTATTCTGTGGTGGCCTGCTTCAGGTTGGATATCCTGGAGTTAGCATCTGGCATGTCCAATGGAACTAACATATAGATGTGTTCAGGCTGTCAGAAACAACACAAAATGAGCATCACTGAACTTGCCGTGATATACAGAACAGAACATTTTCAAAAGGCATGAAGTCAAGTCAGCGTTATTAAAAATTATCCTATGGGGGACACGGATGTCTGCACAGAAAATCCATCCAGTAGCTGTTGAGGATTTTTACTAAAAGCATCAGATGTTGGGCCAATTCATCGAGTAGATGTTGAGATATTTCATAGGTCATAGTGATACATTTGACGCCATGTTGGTGGTGCACGATTCAAATTCAGGGGAAAGCTAAACTCATCCTCTGGAAAACCAAGAAGTCTGTTAAATAGTCATCCAATAGCTGCAATAGTGTAGTCTGTATCAGAGTGATGGCCTTACCATCCCTACATTGTTATCATAGCATGACATCTTTAATGTTACTGTTACAGCTCCACTATGCCAATCAATCTTTCTTAGCGTTTTATGAAACATTCCATTATTTTAGCTGATGCTTTTCTCCCAAGCGTCTTATGATCACATTCAACCAGCGTTTTATGAAACATTCCATTATTTTAGCTGATGCTTTTCTCCCAAGCGTCTTAGGATCACATTCAACCATGTGCGTACTACCAGAAGAAGTGCAAGAAAGCACACCATGCTCACCTCACTGGTCAGCAGTGCAGGGGCCTCAGCGATGGTCCGGGCCCACTCCTGATACGTAGCGAGATCCATCACTCCCTCCTTATTCAATTTAGCCCTCATACTCACAGCACTTTGTAGAGTGCCACCTTTGACCGATGTCAGCACTTTGTCCACCACTGCTTTTCCGTGAGTTTCAACTGTGTGGCAACAGGGGAACACTTTTAGTGACTTTCACACTCATATATTACCATAAACCCTACTCATACACATCACAATGACTGTGCTCAGTCTACTCACAAGGCTTGGTTTTAGAGGTTAGGTTCAGGCCACGTTTACACAGAGACGAAAACGAACCTTAGTCGATATCCAAAAAGTATTCCGTCCACACGGAATCGGCTCAAGAAACGTGTCCGTCCACACGAGACTGCTCGCCCGGCTGGAGACACTGTAGTACATATGCCCGGCCTGTAGGTGGCGCTGTACTTCCACCACAAAATACACCAAAAGCAGCGAAGAAGACCCCCCGAGCATGGTTGCCATGGTTGCCTGGTTGCCCTTCTGTTTATTCTCCGCGGTGGATTTAGCAACATGTAGTTCATGTAGTTCTCCATGTCCACTTGTTGCTGATGGTTGTGGTAGAGGAGCTGTAGATTTTGCACTAACATCTGTAGCATGGTCAGTAGCGTCTGGAGCACGAAAGCAACCCTGTGATCCGGCATTGTTGTTGGCGAAACACATCAGCAATGACGCGGGTGATGCGGGGGTGAGCAGCAGAGGTGGGGAGAGGCGGGGCTATGGCGTCATCGTTATCAGAAAATGATCGTATAGGATGTACACACGGAGCCGTTTGGCCCCCCAGAGCGTTTCGTCCACAGATCTACCCACCTTGAGAGCCGTTATCGTTTGAGGGCTCCGTTTCCACAGTTCCGTTACGGCCTCGTGTGGATGAACCGTCCATACGATAGAGAACTGTAGCGGATACAACCCGTTTCGTCTCCGTGTAAACGTGGCCTCAGATTCTTGCAGGTGTGTTTAAATACAATTAAGTTATGGCCTTTTTTACACAAAATTCTCCCAGCTTTTCCTTGCTGAGATTTGTCAGAGGAACACTTCTCAAAGCAGCTAACAAAACAACTATACCCACTCAATTTGCCTAAGTTATACACTATTGAAGCTGCATTTAAGCATGGCTGTGTATTTTGTCCTCAGTGCAGTGTAGTCCCACTACCAAGGAATTATTTTATGGTCAGTATTGACAGGAGGAATGATTGAAGATACAAATCTCAACGTACATGGCATGTGAGTATCGTCTTGTATTAAGATATATTTCACAAATCCTTTAAATAATAGATTTCTTATCAGTATGATCAGGTAAAACGGGGAAAGCTGACCTTGGTCTTTGTTCGTTACGTCATCACACTCATTGCCTTTCACGTGTCCATCAACCTCTCCCCCAAAGTCTGCGGTGATGCCCAATTTGATGCATTCCTGAATCTTTCTCTCTGTCAGATCTGCAAGAATGATGAAGTATTTAGGATGAGTGCTTATTACTTTTTAACATTGTGCAAGAATACATTTGGTTTGAGTAGAGACACATACTTCTGGCCCGTATGGTGTCCTGGTTGAGAACATAGATCAACTCATATTCACCGCCTGTCTTCCCATTTTTGGTATAGTGAGTACCATAGTCCTCCAGGAAGGCAAAATAAATACCCTTCTCATACTGCAAAGGCAAATATTTGATATGCTCCAGGAATTCATTGGCCGTTTTCAGTTCACGGGAGCGCATCCTGTAGGTGCTCAGCTGCACCGTGCCCTTCACCCGCATGAAGCTCTGGTTCTGTGTGTGCAGGAGAAACGCATTAGGAAATACACATGGTATCTATTTGAGATGGGTTACACAATAGTGTCTTTTTTTTTACCTTGATGATGGAGATCTCTGAGACATCCTTTATCATTTTCTTCTTCTCATACTCAAACTCTAAACCCACTTTTGATGATGTGCTCTCTGACATGGAGGCCTCAGATGGGCTGAATTTGAAAGAAAGTCCGGCATCAACTTTAGAACTCATCTCTTTCAGCATTTCCTTCAGGAGGCTGTGTGTGTTTTCATAAATCTCTCTCGAAGATGTTTCTTCCACTAAAGTCTGGAAAACAGGGAGACAACATTTTATGAGTGCAGAATTATCAAATGGTCTCTGTCAGCACGTACATGTTGGACAAAATCAGGGTAAAGTATGTGAACCAGTTTGGGCTAACCTGATAGTTGAGCACACCGACATTCCAGGGAACTCTATCCTGCTTCCCAGAGCTGGGATTCCTCACTCGATCACACCTCCCGTTGAAGTAATCGTTGTTGAACGGGTTCATGCGAGGATCTGCACCCAGGATGTTGATTCTGGTGCATGGACACAGTTCATGCTTACAAAAGTTTGAGGTGTAGAGTTAAGTGTACTAGGACACATGATCTATTACTTGCATTCAACTGAATAGTTTTAAGTTTTGGGACATTTTTACACTTGGACAGATTGAGGCTTTCTCCTGCTTTCAATCTTTTTATGCCAAAATAATCTGATATTTATTCTTATCTAACTGCAAGAAAGTGACTACATATAGTTCCCAAAATGTCACACTATTGTTTTATCTATTATTTACTTGCAAAGCTCTTTTTTGTTGAAAACAACTAGAAAACATAAGAAAGCATCTCCACTGAATAATACTTTGATTAATAGGAGTCCCGTATTGTCACAATAAATGGGCCAATATAATGTAATATCAGTGTTCTTCCCTGCAGTAACAATGCCTTAATTTAACTTTCATATTACTGTAAATTCACTCTGATTGCAACTGAAATGTCTTTTTAATAACTCTTACCCATATCCTGCTGTCCTGCCTTGCTCATTACTTTCCAGGACGGATGATCCACACGGTCTGTGCACAGGATCACAGTCCTCATCTGATCCATCCTCACAGTCATAGTCCCCGTTGCACATTAATCTCTTCTTGATGCAAGTTCCTGTGTTGATAGGCATGTTATAGGCATTGAAAATAAATAGAGGTATTGTATAGAGGTGAGTAAAAAGCAGCTGCAGTACCTGACTCGCAGCGGAACTCAGAGTCGGAGCAGGTGGAGGGGGGGGGGCAGCTCACAGGCAGCGTCTGTTACACAGGCCTCTCTTTCCCCCAGGGACCCCTGGCAGGAATCTCCCCCAAACTGACCGAACACTTCCACACCTCGAGCCCGCCTCTGAGGGGCACACATGGTATTGCACTTTGTTAAGCATCTATGTTGTTTTGTGTATTTGTTACAAGGGTAAACAGTGGAGAAACAGTGAAGTTGTGAAAAACGTTTTAATTAATTTTTTCAGGCACTTTGCCAAAACAGGGCACAGAAAACACACACAATTCAGGATGTCTTACCAACGCAACTATTTAGTTATTAGGAAAAAGTCAGTAAATTATTTAATTCTGTTAGTTAAAGTTGTACATAGTACAGCCACTGCTTTTTATGAAATATGTTTTTTGGGTAAAACTGGTGTCAGGAAATTTCATTTCCTGACATTTCCTGAGTGATTTTAACTCAACTTTGACCATGTAGTTACTGGGATTTGGCTTTTATGCAATACAGGCACTCACATGCCAGCTAGAACAATATTGTCATTAGACTCAGTTGAATGTGGAGTTTTGTAGTCTCTGACACTTTTAACAGACTCACTCTGGTTTTCATGCAGGTATCACAAGGACTCCACTCTGACCAGCGGCTCCAAACACAATTCACTGCTGGTGGATCAGGAAGATCCGCTCCCCTGAAATACACATATTCAGTGGTGCAACATTTAGGCTTGTACCCAATCTTCAGGTGATAAAAATGAAATCCTTCAAATGAAAATCATGAAATAAGAATATACATACATTCCTTCTCCCAGAAGTGTTAGAGTCAGACAGAGGCTACAGAAGCCCAGCTGCAGAGCAGTCCTCATGATGAACCTTTGAGACAAATGGTGTCGTGAGTCTGTCCCTGATGAGTCTATAAAGCTACCTCTCTGTCAATGATTATTCAACTGCAAAAGGACCAAGTTCAAGTCAATAGTTTGGATTTCATGTTGACTCATTGCTCGGAAACTCCAAAAAGCAGAGTTTAAATGTTTGTTTTAGTTGAATCATCATCCAGTCTTTATGTTTTGTTCTTCACACTGTATGCAAAGCCCCAAAAAACATGATAATCAGAAAAAACTGATTCATTTCTTCTCATCATTTCTGCAAAACTGTTATTTAACTGTTGACTGTTCCTTTAGTTATGTGCTGATCAATTAAACCATGCCATCATTCACCAACAAAACGTCAGAATACACACTACAAAACTGACTATAACTCATAAGTATTGCGAAATTATATGTTGAAGTTTATGTTTCTTGTTTACTGTGATTTCAAAATACCATTCCCCTATTACCAGGAGTAACTGCGAAACAATATGAGTGAAAATCTTAAGGTTTCTCATAGCATTACATATTTCTTGAGATAATTATTGAAACATTCACAAGGTATAAATGAAAAAAAAAAATTCTCAAATGCTTTTACTATTTCAATGAGTGATTCGGCGGCAAATAACTATGCTTCATATTCCTTTCTTAGTCTTAAATGTGCACTGCAAATAGTGAAGCATAGTCATTGCAATACATGGCAGTACACATTTTTGTAAAGATGTGTTTATAGAATGTATATAAATATAATGATGTCCCTTTTCGTGCAGGCACACGGTTTATACAAAAGGCCAAAGGTCATTTCATTTTAAGAATGCTTGCAGTCATTGGAGACAATCTGTTATTTTCTGTGTTTTCAGGATTATGCAATCATTCGGGCAGATTCAAAGCAGAGCAAATATTTGAAGGAGCCGTTTTGACTGAACTTTCAGTGCACATATAGGTCAACATGTGAAATTGGGAAACTATCAAAAACAACCGCGTACACACTCCCTGTAACTGCACTGATCCAAGTTGTTATGAAAACTGGCACAGATTCTGAAGTGCAGCCCTTTGTCCACAAGGTGGCAACATCGAACAGAGAACAGCAGTTTGTAGTACTGTGTGTTCATGACAAGTGACAACCACACACTGTTTGTGTACAGGGCTATGGAACACACTAATATAAGGACTTTAAGAATTTACATAAATAAATAGTCGCGCTGATATCTTTCTCTGGCAAGTCAACACTGTTTTCTTAAATAAATATAAGACCGAACCTTGCACAATGCACAGGAAGTTTTAAACTGTTGCACATAATGATCTGTCATGTGATCTGCTGGCTTCTGCTGAGTCTGCAGTACTTTGTTCTTCAAAAGGAGGGAGTGCAGTGTGTTTAAATTACAAAAAAGGGAAAACCAAACACTTCTCAGTGTACACAAATGAAAACAATAGTGAATATAAAGATTGACTCATTAGGAATAGGATCAAATTAGCTAATGTATCATAATCATGTGAATCATTACTCATGAACACAGAAGAACAGTGAAAAATCCTTCGTTTTTATCCATTTGAGAGAATAAAACAGATTTTTAAGTCCTTAGTATTCAGCATGGTGATTTTGTATTTTCTGCTGACTTAAATAAACACTGGGACTCTTCCCTGATCTCTCCAAAGTCAACCTGGGGGCTGCCCTGTGCCGGTTCTTTCCGTGTATCTGCAGGCAGAGCTGGGGTAGTCGAGGGGCTATGTGGTCACGGCCCGCTGGAGAGGCACAAATATGTGCTGAGGTCACCACTTTTACGATGTTCGGCAGTTTCCTCCCAGCTCTCTCAGGAAACCAGAGGGTAGGTAAGGTGCTTGGCCAATATTTCTCCTGACTAGAAAGACTTCCTGTTATTTAGGGGGGAGGAAGGTTGGAACTGTGTGGATTGGAAACACTGTGGAACAGCCTCGCTTTACTGTAATTCACACATTTTGTTGACTTTGTCATCTTGTGAGACAGAATATGATGACGCATTGCCACTTGTCCTACTGCTTTATGTTGTTATTTTTAGACTGAAATGGTCAAGAGTAGTGAAGGCAGTTGGGAGTTCAAAGAACAGAGTTGGACAGAGAGGATACAATCTAAGACTACCTCAATTATGGACTGGAGATAAGTGGCTATCTTAGGTTCTGGTTGTGGTGGCAGCCAGTTCCAGCATTCACGCCCTAAATGCTGGATGTTTGGATTGTGGCCTTCCTGTAATAAACTGAGGAAAAGGACACTTCCCATTTGATAGTCTCTGTCAGCATTCTATCATAAAAATAAATGTGCATGTGCTGACTTGTGCCATCCGTAGTATGTTTATAGAAAAAGGGTCTCATTCGGTTTCCTTACCTATCAAGTTTTACATCCAACATGTCGTCCTGTATGCAGATGTGTGGCTGCGTTGGGCGTGCCACTGATCAACAGACATGAATCATTTTCAGCAGAACAAGGAATTCATCATTTTGAACCCAACGTCATCAGACAGTGATGCTGGATCAAAGAGGCACGTCATTGATGAGAAAAAGGATGACCACCTCATAATCTTGAGAAGTCACGTGAATATGAAGCTTTCCCTGGTTTATTATGTTTTATTATAAATATAGTTGCATGGACACAATATATATATATATATATATATATATATATATATATATATATATATATATATATATATAATTATTTATTTATTTATTTAAAGGCATAAAGCACAATATAACATTTTAAATGTCAGCTATTATGTCTGGGGTTCGGCAATTCTAAACAAAACTCAGATGATATTAAATGTTTAATAAGAGGTTATGAAAAAAGATCATTCCAGTGGTCTGACTGAGGGGAAAACAGACTCAGCTGCTCAGCTATCTGCCTTCTGAGGAGCTCATCTCCTGAAAACCGCCTGTCAGCAGAACACAGGATACAAAGGCAGGAAGGACGTCCTTCCTCTGTCCCTTTCTCTGTCATTTCTCAGCATGCATCGTACAACATACATTTTACTGTAAATATTTTTAACATAAGACAATATAATTTGAATTTTTTGCTTAATAAATTGCATTTTCTGCAGTTTTTGTGGTGCCAGAACTTCATATAAAACCTACTTTAGTGTGATAGATTTAAGTACATTCAGATTTAATGAATACATCTGTCTGTTCTCATGTTGTGACTGATATCATGTTTCAGTCTTTAACGCATAATCAAGTTTATAAAAAAATTGCTAATCTGGGATTGAATATGTGAGTTATTTATTTGCTTTCCTTGAAAAATGAAATCTCCAATAGTGAGCCCCCTAACACCCAGAAGGGGATGCAGTGAAGTCAGGTTGGTCATATTAAATTGAAGACGTTAAACAGTAAGCAGCAAGATAACTTCCAGATGTTTCTACCACTTTCACTAATCAGACTAATTAGGACACTTTTTATTTGGTTCCTCAAACACTCACCTTGGGAAATTACGGGAAAAATACCAAACCAACCAAATCTTTGTATTATAAAGGATTCTGCTGCTATTTATGATTTATATTATAAATGTAACACTATAAAAGGTCAATTTTATTTTATTTTGTATTAAATGTACTCATCCTTTTAGTGTCTGACCCTCCTGCTGATGTGTTATAGTGTGTGAAGAAATGTCTTAAATAATGTAAGAATTAATACTGGTTCTCTGACGCTGCTCCAATGGATTAGAATAGGAAAAAGTTTTTAATCAATATTCTCCAGCATGCTGCCAACAATAACATTATCACAAACCAATAATGCCGATAGCTCAGCTTTTATTGAGCTGCAGTGAAACCGCCACCAGCTGTGGGATGTTTCAATTACCATAAGTCATGTTAAAGTTGCCTGATAATTGAATTATAAGTTATTGTTAGGTGACGGTTCACCATAAACATGTATTTACAGAAGTGAAACCTACTACCAGTACACAGGAAAAAGCCACATTGACATCACTCCACATATTAATGCTGATTGCAGTGCTTATATATGTTGGTGAATCCTTTTCCAATAATTTGTTTCCATCTTTTAGGATTTTCTTTTGAAGAAGCGAGAGCGCTTTGTCTTTTTAATTGAGGCTATCCCTGTTTATACTAACAACCCAGTACTTCTCTTAATTATGCCAAACAAACACATATTAATGCCTCTGCAAACAGTGAACAAAGCACTTCCTGTGTGACTTTCCTGGGAATGTCATAACTGGCACTCAGTGCTTAGAACAGCAAACATACAAACTGTCATTACACAGCCTAATCACTGCATGGTATCGAAAAGCAAAATAGGCATTTATATTGAGGAAGTTGATGACCCATTTTCAGCCATATAACTACATAACACTGCATGGCAGAGGAAATATAGTGCCTGCTCGTTTAGAAAATGTGCTGTGTTAGCAAAAGAAGAGTATCCCCTCTGGTTTGTACTTCCCCTCACTCCTTAAACGTTTAATGATATGATGTTTAGTGCACAAATGGCTTAAAATATATTAGTGAGAATTTTAAATTTGAAACTCATACAATGCTTAAGTCAACTTCCAAAACAAATGTTGGGTATCAAGAACACCATTAGCATAAATATGGATTAATGTTTCTCACCAATTTAAATGTTCAAAGTTAAAAGTGTTGTATGTCCTCCTTTAACGTTACACTCATGTAGCTGTTTTTGGTCTCCACCAGCTCCTCAGGAGAATATCTGGCTTTTTAGCGTCTGAATGCTCCACTATGTTCACCAGCAGGTCATTAAATCTGTTCTGACTGATGTTTGGTGCCAAGCATGATACCATACAGAGTGTTTTTAGGGCTTACTGCTTAAATGAGAACAGTGACTGTGGACCAAAACAGGAACATTAGAGTCGCAGGCCCTAAAACCAAAACAATAAGCTAAAGGAAGCTTACAGCTAATGTTCTGTATCAAGCAATTCCTTTAACATTACACAAGTTCACAATGATCAAAAAATGTCATGGGCTCAGTATTGTCATACAAATGTGTTTCAAAATGTCCACCAGTATTGCAGTGCCCAAAAAAAACAGACAAGCCTGCCTGTTCCCTCCCACCATCACTCACCTCTGATGTGTTGGAGTGAACAGCTCTAATTGTGCTTTGAACAGCTGGTCAACACTACATCTCTTCTTATAGCCAGCACACTGGACCCAATCCACAGAAGACACCACAGCACACCACCATGCTGTTTATTGACTACAGCAAGTTCAACACCAGATCTCCCAAAGCTTGACACAAATCTCAATGACAACTGTGCATCTGGGTCCTGACTTTCTGACAGGAACACTTTTGGAAGAAACAAAGGGGTTACATCCCCCTTAATGTCAATGTGTCCATGTAAAGCTTTGAGTACCTTGGTGTCACATCACAGAGAGACATAATAAAATGTGTATCCCCTTAAATAATAAGGAATTTCTACTATTGCAGGGAGCATCAGCAGGGGCGCAGCCAGGGATTTTGGGCCCCATGAAAAAATATCACAATTGGTTACTTACATTTTTTTTTCTTAATGTTCTAAAATTGTTTGGGCCCCTGTCAGTCACGGGCCCTTAGAATCGTCCTAACTTTTCACCCCCTTACGGCGCCCCTGAGCATCAGTAAAGACATTCACAAATGATTGTCGGGTTCCACCTACTTATCATGGTGCTTTGAGTTCTTTTAACTAAACATACATTGTAAATTAAAAAAATGTAATTTAAGAACCTACTGTCTGTAAATGTTATAATGCACGTAGGGTTCGGGCTGGGCTTGGTTATACTCTCTCTGACTTGGGTCAGGTTTGGACAGAAATGTGCAGCCCACTAATTTACACCAGGCTCTGCAAGAAAAAGGCCAGAATAATCATAAAGGACTCCAGGATAATGTTGGAAAGAAGGTTCCTGACCAGCAGAGGCTCAGGAAGAACCAGGCCATTAGGCACGTTCACACCAAGTACTTTTCCCACAGTAGTTCATGAGAACTTTAGTCATCTGCCCCTCCCCCCTGAGGAATTACACTTTACTCGAATTATAAAATAAAATTTGACAAAAAAGTATGATTGATGTATCTGTAATAATTGTTGTTGCTTCAACATTGTCAAATATTTTCAACATATTTATATTTTTCTAAGAAGGAACCTAATGTGTTTAAAGCTGCAGGCACTAGACTTTTAAATAAGCGATGCAAGCACGACAGCATTGTTTAAAAGTGTGTTTTACAAAAAAAGCAAAGGAAATCAGATCTATTTTCTTATGACATAACATCTTTCACGACCCGCTCGCTGTGAGGCCATATGACCGGTGGAGAAATCCTCCTCCACGTGAAGAGCCCGCCCCCCCCTCCGCCAGTTGAAATGTGCAGAGAGTTAGGTCTGTCAGTCAGTGAAGGGTTAAACTGGGAGTTTGCAGCAGTCTCTCCTTTCTGTCCACGGCATTTAGCGGAAAACATCTGACTCTTTTCCGAAAGCTGTGTTTGGCTTTTACTCATTTTGGAGCCGGAGCCGGAGCCGCGGAGGCATTACGGGACAAAAGTCAGTGTTTCGACAGCAGGATTGTAACATCTCACTGCCCGCTTTCAAACAGGTAGGTCTCTGTGCTGGTAACATTTTCCATCCATGCATTAATTAAGGAATCCAGCAAAGAACTAAAGGTAGTCATTTTGAAGTAGCTACATAAATGTTTCCATTTGATTTCGCCTTTAAAAGCCACACGTATAACGGGTTGCAGCTTTGTGCGGATTGCTCTGTCTCAAACAGACATTACATCAATTATGCATTAACTGTACTTTCCTACACATCTCTGCGGGAGGTACAACTTAATTCCATGTTTTCATTTGGACTCGTTTCATTTCCTGTCGCAACTGCTGGGATAACAAACCATTTCAAACCTCTTTTCTGCAAGTTTTCTTTCCAGGAGAATCTTGTAGCAGCATCCTGTTAACAAACATTTCCTTTTTTAAACTTGAGCCATTAGGAAACCATGATGTTCAAAACCTTTTTAATTGCATCTCTTGTCCACATACATATAGGCCAAGCTATATCGTAGTTTAAGTGCAAAACAACTTTAATTTAGTATGAAAGTGTTTGCATGGCCTTTGTGTCCACAGTGGGCCTGTGGTATTTCACCATCTCATTGACTTGCAGACTGAGTCATTCCCTGATTTCCTCCAGATGTGCAGTAGTTTACGTTTCCTGACGGCCAAGGATTGTGACATGTCTGCCCTTACACTGCAGTTATTCTGCTGACAAATATGAATTTTCACTTGTGTACATGCTGTGGCTAAATGTTATTTGTTTCGGGACAGTGGTGGATTCTATAAAAAGCTTTTTTCTTCTTCCCCTTCATCTGGTAGTATACTGGCTACCTTTTTGAGTAAATTGTTAAAAGTAATCCTTTAACTTAAATCTGCAATGAATCGCTGACATTTTTACTAGCCTTTCCTCCAGGTAGTGGGACTCTGACACCACTAAAAGTGCAATCATGTGTCACACTTGTGTGTAAACTGAGCATCAACAAGTGTTTAGGCTTATGTCTTGTTTTAATACACTTACCCACATATCGGCAAGAATCTGTGCGGTTGCAGGAATGTCACCATGACAAACAAAACCGAAAAGGGCTTATTTACTTTGTCAGTCTCAAATTCAAATATGGTACTGGTGGAGGAAATTAATTGTATTGTTTTACAGCAGCACTGTACAGTAGCTCGTATGATTTAAAAACCCTCATTCGGACAGCAATCAAGATCATTCTTAAAATAATGCACTCAATTGGAAGCCTTTCTTCACGCACTGTATTTTAAATCCGATTTCCCTTACAGAATATCTGTATACTCTCAGACTCTGATATGGTCAGATGTGATTCATAGAGGCAACAGTTGGAACTTGATGACCTCAGCGATCCCATCAGTTATCCTATCCTTATGGCTCTCATTTCCTTTTTGAATCGAATACATTTACCGGCCTGATCGATTTCATCATGAACAGTACCTCTGGACTGGACTGTGGTTTTGAATATTCTCACAATATGAAAACTGATCCCACAGGTGCATTTTTGCTTGTTGTCATAAGGGACTAATTTCTCCCTGATTCCACATCATCTATAAGTGTAGGTTTTATAGATTACTTTGAAATGCTGTGGTTAAGTGATCATTCCAAAGGCTTTTGCAACTGCAATTTCTGTTTATAGTTGCTTAGCTGGGCATCACGAGATCTTTTGCTCAAGATTAACCACAGGTAATTGCTCAACCTTTGCCCACCATCAACCTTTGGCCCATCCTACAGTGCTCCCAGCCTCTTTACTCTCAGTGCAGGCAGTGGAGTGTCCGGTGCCGGTCCTAAGGGTACGTGTATATGTCCCTGCAGAGCCATGTTTGCCTTGCTTGTATTCTACTTGATGTGCCGAATGCATGTGAATGTTTGCACTCTGCTGGGCTTGTTTGATTTAACAGAATCCGTCCCACATAACATAGTTGAGGATATATAGGTGAATCTCAGCTGCTGTGGTGTCCGCTGCAGTCCTCTGTGATGTTGTTTTTGCCTCATGTGACATTGCCTTGTGTTTCCGGCACAGTGAGTGCCAAGGTATTCATGATTCTTCAGTGTGTTGGCAGATACATTAATGATGTTATTGTTGATTATCAGTACACATGAATACGACTAGCATATTGCTTCTTGTCATAGTTTCACATCATGCTTATTTGATGGCATTTGTATGGGTCTGACAACAACTCACATCATGTGACAGTATTACAAAATGCGTCTAAACCCCTAAACAAATGTACTGATGGATGGCAGGAGAACAATATTTGTAGAGAGGTGACTATTTGCTGGATCTTTTTTATCTTTAGGATAATACGCTCTTTTTACGGGGCTGAACAACTGACACAGCATGTGTAAAGCAGGGTTAAAGGGTGTTTTCTGTGATCTCGCCCTATGATGTTTTATAGGTCATGGGTCTGCTTTGCCTCTCTCCTTGAAGGGTGTCTCTGTGGTTGTAAATGTTTACTGTGGATTGTTAACATATTTGATTGTTTATGATGTGCCAAACATTTTTTCAGCAGCTACCTACAAACCTTTAGCAGTAACAAAGTATTTTCACTCATCCTTTTTATGCCTCCTCAACAGTATTTAGTTTGACCAGAATAAGTGCATACTGACCTTTATCTCCTTCTCCTTTTTTTTTTCTCTCCTCACATGCACTTCTCTTTTTCTCCTCCAGACAATTAACAAGAGAAGCATGTGTGGGTGCTAGGACTCTCTGTTTGGTTGACCTCGCTGCCCCTGAATCAGGTGCTGCTGCCTGCTTTACTCCCGACCTTCCTCTTGTCCAGTGAGGCTCTCTCCAAACCATGTCTGCTGAGGTGGAGACCGCGCCGGTTCCTGCCGATCCGAGCGTCGTCACCCCAACGACCCTCAACACTCCTCCCACCTCCCCATTAACAGCCACATCCAAAGTCCCATTCAAGAAAGAGAAGAAGAAAGGTGAGTGATTTAAAAACACAAGACATCCATTTGACTGTTCAATGTTTGAGGTCGTATGTTGTAGAAATCATCCTTTCTTGATGTTTTTCGCAGCCCCAGAAAAGACAGATGAATACCTGCTGGGCAGGTTTCAGGGGGATGGGGTGAGGTACAAGGCTAAGCTGATTGGAGTCGATGATGTTTCAGAAGCCCGAGGAGACAAGATGAGCCAGGACTCCATGATGAAACTTAAGGTACAAAAAGGACTGGGCCCTGCTATTTATAACATGAATGGAGTATTTAGTGGAAGGTGTTTTTAAAGCTGGTGATTTAAATGTTTTTAAATTTCATCTGCGGTTGGTATCATGAACCATGTTTATGACAAAAGATAGAAAATCTGAATAGTTTGTATTGTTTATTTGATACTAGGGTATGGCAGTAGCTGCTCGGTCCCAAGGCAAACACAAACAGAGGATCTGGATCAACATTTCCATGTCGGGCATCAAGATCATCGATGAGAAATCGGGAGTAAGTCTCCTTCCTTTACAATGACATCACATGGTTTATTAGATTGTGTTGCTAATAAAGCATTTGTCCTCATAAGGTGATTGAACATGAGCACCTGGTAAACAGGATCTCCTTCATCGCCAGAGATGTCACAGATAACAGGGCGTTTGGATATGTGTGTGGAGCAGAAGGGCAGCATCAGTTTTTTGCCATAAAGACTGCACAACAGGTAACATTTGCAAATAAACAGACACACAAACTCAAGCATTGACACTCGCTCTGTAAAGATAAAAAAAACTACCAAGACAGATGTGCAACAATGGCAATGTGTTTCTGTCCCCTTACAGGCAGAGCCCCTGGTCATTGACCTGAAAGATCTCTTCCAGGTCATCTTCAACCTGCGGAAGAAAGAGGCAGAGGCCTCACAGAAGGTAACAGAAGCAGTTGACTTTAAAACTGGAAAAATATATATGTTTTCTTTCAAAAGTTGGACTGTGAGACCTTGTTCTTTCTGAGAGAAAACCATTTTAATGTGGCCATCTGGGAAGGGTATACAGTACACTGTAAAACCTCCTGAATGTCAACACTGCCTCTCTGTGTTCTTTCAATGAATCACATCTTCAGACATTCCATTGAAATGATGTGAAATGACACGCGCCTCACTGAATTAAGAAAATAAGTATAATCATTAACAGTCTACCTCTTGTTTACAGGGGGAAAATGGCAGCGCTGTAGTTGAGGTAAGCACTTGGAGGCGCTTGTTTTCCCCAAATGATTTCTCTAACTCCTGCCTTAACCTTTTGCTTTTCTGTCCTTCTTTTAGAATGGAAGTGATGCCTTGCTAGGTGTAGATGGTGGAGTAAAAACTGCTCAAGTAAGTTTGTCCGCTCCTGTTTTTTGTTAAGTGCTTAACATTAAATAACATAGCTCTGATTTATAGTAGCTGGATAAATACTGTATGTTTCTGTTTCTTTTTTACATCCAGCCAGTGGAGCAGTTTGACCTTTTTGGAGACATGTCGACCCCTCCAGACATCCAGGCTCCAAATGTAAGTGTGGTGCCATAAAATGTTCCCTTTAGCTGGGCAACATAGTGGAATTATGCTTAGGAAATGAAGTGCAGCTGGGCATTTCCACTTTCAGTGTATACTTTTCAGGCACCTTAATGTTGACGGTAGGCCCTTGAAAACTTTTATTCAATTTTTTCTTTTCTATGGTAAGATTTGTTTTTGAACCAGGTACAGATGCATTCATAAAATAAAGTTTGCTACATGCTGCCTCATGTAGAAAATATGTTTCTAAAATCTGATTTAGGAAACAAAATATGGTTCCATTCAATTACCTCAGCACTATCCAGATCATTCCATGTGTGTAAACTCAATTCTAAAAAGGCCACACTTTTGTTTAATCATTAGTTGTATCAGATTTTAACAATTTAACAACAACAATTTAACAAATTGTACGGTGTCCTTGGGTGTCATGAAAGGCGCCTAAAAATAAAATGTATTATTATTATTAGATTTGACAGTTCATGATGATCTTTTAAGAATTGAGTTTAACTTCTTGTACCAATCTCATTGTTGTTCATCAAACCTCTAAAGCTGCTACAAGTAGAATCTATTTATAAGACATGTTTGTGTCACCTGGAGTCTTCTAAGGGTAATACCTCTGGGAAAATTCACAAGCCCAGTTTCAGGTCATGGAGTTAGTGCTGACTTCAACCTTGTTGATGATAAAGGCAAGTTAGCAATTAGTCAATTTTTCCAATTGGACTTTGCTTTACCGTGACATTTATTTAAATTTTGAGGTAAATATTCTACAGGTAGCAGCTTTAAATTGTCTTTTCCCACCATGTGATTCATTTTTCATTTTGTTAACACATGTGTTTTTCTCCTTCTGCAGAACTGATTCATAATTCTCTTTTTTTCTGCCCCTCTCATGTTAACCAGGAATCTAATGATATGCTCTTGCTGGACTTTTCTGCTGAAGTTGACAGCAATCAGAATTGCATAAAGGGACCCTCCTTTGTAACTTCCTGTGCCCCTGACCATAGGGCATCTCCCCAAACAGAGAATCCCTTTTCCTCAACATTTGGCTACTTTCCAACCCCAGACAGTGACCCTTTCAGAGATGACCCGCTTTCTAAATCACCCCCTTGGTCAGAACCCCATAACTCACAGATCTCTCCCCCCACCAGTAATCACCTAAACAGCACTGCTGGCAACACTTACACAACAATTATTAACAGTGGTTTGAATGGAGACCCCGAACACCTCAGTCAGCAGATAAATGGGTTATCCAGTAAAACCATGATCCTCGCTCTCAGTAACGGACAGTGGCCACTAGGGGGCAAAATAACTCAGAGCAACACAATCACCATGATGGACGAATCTGGAACAGTTCTCTCAACCAAAAACCCTTTTTTTGACTCATCATTAAACACTTCCCCTGTCTCTAATGACATAACTCCTCCCCCACAACCCCCATTGGCTCATAGCAAGGATTCAGTTGTCATAAGTCCGCCTCCGCAGAGCTCTAAGGCTGGACGAGGTCGAAGGAGTGCAAAGGTGAAATTCCATAGCTAGATGAATCATGCTAGATTTGCATGTGTGATGCCTTAAATGGGCTGAATGCACAGGTTGCTAACACATCCCTTTCTTGGGTTATGCACTGGTGTCTGACAGGATATGACAGGATGCTTTTGTTTGGATAAGGTTATGGGTTCCTGGTTAGATCCACTCTGTCTTCGTGCATGCACTGGTGGTCACATGCTTCTCTAACTGGCTTGCATAAATGACACTTTGACTGTGCTGCTGAACAATCCACTTTACCTTTTGTCATTTCTGCTCTAAATCTATTTTCTAACATTCATGCATCAGTGATAAACGCAGTGGTAAGTGGCAAAGCATGTGTCCTATCAATGTTCAGGTAATGTAGTACTTTCGACTACATAATTGCAGTAAACAATTGGTTACACTTTTGTTTAAACCTAATTTCTACTATACTGTTTATCTTATGAGTTATCATGTCTACAACTGTGTCAATGAGGTGAAATGAAACTTTTAAAATGTATAAAGTATATAATACTATTTTATAACTTTCTTGAATAGTCCACAGCAGAAGATCTGTTTGGAGCAGAGCTATTTGCTGCCCCTGCTCAATCTGAAGCACCCCCCGCCTCAGGGAACTATTTCAACAGCACGCCCGCCAACTCCTACCCCTCCTCCATGGCTGCTCTGGGTAATACACAAGAGGAAAACATTGTGTTTGATTCAGATATACGGTATTTTTTTTTTGGCTTTACACTCTCTTCCCTTTTAAACTTTGAAATCCCTTTTTCTTTATATTCAGGGAATCTTCAGTTAGGTCCTCCAGCTACCACAAGCATCCCTGCTGCAGGCATGTGGGGGGCCCCCGCCGCTGCACCGTCCATGTTCCCCATGCCAGGAGCTCCAGGGCAGAGGCCCAACTATCCACAGCCCTCTGCCTTCGGTGGCCTACCCATTCCCCCCACAGCCTGGAGCCAGCAGATGCCCCCTCAGTTCAGTGCTGCACCCTTATCCCCGCCTCACCTCAGCTGGGGCCAGCCTCCACCAGGTGCTCCAGGTTGGGGTCAGCCCGCCATGACCAATCCTTTCCAGCCTGGCCAGTTCCCCGGAATGGGTGACCAGCAGGGTCCGGCACGCCCCCCTCCTAGGCCACCTGTTAAGGAAGCCCCTCCAAAGGTAGAGAACAGTGCCTTCACATCTCTGGACCCCCTTGGAGATAGAGAGAAGAAGAGTGGAAAGGACATGTTCAAGAACTTCCAGCTCGCCAAGCCCCCTGCCATCCCAGCAAGGAAAGGAGACCTAGTGTCAAACGCTGCTCCCCCCCCAGGCAGCAACGAAGCCGGGGCATTCGATCAGTACTTTAACAATAAAGTGGGCCTGCCGCAGGATAATGCTGATCATGATGACTTTGATATCAATCAAATGTCAGCCATTGTAAATGGTAAATCACCTAACATTTTGGAGGTTGACTATGTGTGAGATTTGTCACTAATAGTAGCCTTGTAATGTGTCTGTTAGATGTTTCTAAACCAGCTCCTGTGCCAGCTGCAGCTCCAAGCTTTAACCCCGGCCTGCTGGATGCCGCCTTCTCTTCTGCTCCCATTGCAAATAATTCAGCCCCAGCCCAGGGACCCAAACATGACATGTTTGATCAAGCATTTGGGGCCCCCGATTCGAGTCTGTTTGGAGGGCCGCCTGTAGCCATGGTACAGAGATTTACACAGATGCACACATATATATATATATATATATATATATATATATATATATATATATATATATATATATATATATATATATATATATATATATATATATATATATATATATATATATATATATATATATATATACATACATACACACACTTTTTCAGATTCTCAGTAATGAATTTTAATTTGTGGTCTTTCTTCTCTATTTGACAGCAGCCTGCTGTGCTGAACTCTGGATCAACAGCAGATTTTGGGGATCCTTTTGGAAATCCCTTTGCTTGACCATAACTTGTCTATGAGTAAGTTTGCATTTATGTTTGATTATTACTAAATGTATTTAATCTAAAGGGGATAAATATTGTCTTCACAGTTTTCTCTTCTCTCTGCCCTTACAGTTAAAATGGAGCTAATGATCTTCACGTCAAATAAAATATTTGGGACAAGCTGCTACAACGTGCGCAAGACAATCCAAATGATGAGCGTTTCTAACTCTTGTCCCGAGCCCACCCTTCCTTTACACCTTGACCTCTGATGGTGTTGTTTTTACTATCCAATCAGTAGTTCCCCTTATTTGTAAAGACCACTGATTGAAAAATATAAATGTTGTGTCCTGATCTGCTGAAGATAGAAATGTATTGTATGAAAAAAAAGCACGTCCAAAGAGTTTCACTGCTGATGCTGTCTGTATTAAAGAAATAAAATAATTCAATAATTAGTTGTTCATTGACTTTTTCAGACTGAGTTAGTGAAGTAATGTTGGAAACCACTTAAGGTTCAACAGACACAAAGACATGATACTTATTTTCTATAGGCTTTGTCTATGATCACTGAAGTTCCATATTATTAAACAAAATAAATATGGATATATATACAAACAGATGTTAAATGGCCACCTTATGGGTTGTATAAATTGAAACAAGAAAAATTCCGATTGTAAAAAAAAAAAAAAACTCATTTGGAAATGCTCTTTATTAAAGCAATGCAGTCTAAATTGTGCTAAAGTTAAAGGACTACAAAAGAGGGAATGTATTTATTTTTTTAAGAACACATTTTATCTAGAAAGTATCTTTCTGACATTTTAACAAAATATAAATTAAAGTGGACCTATCATGCTATATTATAATAATATAGTGTAGGACCATACCTATATAAGGCATATTTATACTTTTTTTTTTCAAAATACCAAACGGATCATGCATTTTAGCCATGCCTCATTTTGCTCAATTTGCACTATTTTACCCCTGTTTTTGCAAGGGCTGATTCTGTGAGAACGGCACCACCTACAGGCCTGGCATATGTACTACAGCGTCTCCAGCGCTTTCGAACGGCAATGGCCGTGGCTGTCTCCTCCTGATTGGTGGAGTTGGCCCAATAGCTGTAGCGCCACCGTCCTGACGTCAGGACAGTGTTCAAATCTGGATCAGTTTTGATCAGATCCGTTGCAGCCCCTTTTTTAGAGATTTGGGTATGGAGGAAAATAGAGAGGGTTGTGTTTTCTGACACTTGGTGAGTTCCCTGGAACACCGGGGACACATATTCATGTATAAAAGACGTACAAAAGTGCATTTTGCATGATAGGTCCCCATCATGTTCGAAAGCGCTGGAGACGCTGTAGTACATATGCCAGGCCTGTAGGTGGTGCTGTTCTCACAGAATCAGTGAAGAAGACTTGGTTACCATGGTTATCCCTTCTGTTTATTCTCCGCTGTGGCTTTCTTTCTCCCTCCCCGAGGCAAGCGTTTGCTCCCGCTGCAATGCAATCCCTTCCCGTCGAGGCAAGCACTGTAATTCTCTCCGGTTAGTCCACCAGCAGATGACAAACACCCACCTCTCCGCCTCTTCCAAGGAACGAGGGGACCGTGCGGCAGAGTTTCAGTTTCAGTTCGTTTCGCCGGTCAAGATGTCCGTTAAAGTTTAAATCTTCCGGACAAAATTAGAAAAGTGCCGGTCAAAGGTGGTCTTTGTTATTTATTGAGCTTTAAAACAAATGAATAACGACTCTAAAACACGAGGACGGAGATCTCTTTTTCTCCCCCTCTTCTGACAGCCCAGCAGCTGATCAGAGCACGTCTCCCCTCTCCTGCAGGGGGGCGTGGTCAGCAGAATCAGACCCGTAGACAGCAAACAGCACATAGAGTGAAATGAGGCATGGCTAAAATGCATGATCTGTTTGGTATTTTGAAAACAGAAATGTATAAATATACCTTATATAGGTATGGCCCTACAATATATCATTTAAATATAGCATGATAGGTTTCCTTTAAGTTAGAATAAAATGGAAAACTATAAGAAAACACAATCAATGATCTCTCCAGTGGTAGCCTCAAATATGAAATATAAGTTTTGTGTAAAATAACCAACACCAAAAGCTGCTTACATATATATTTATCAGAATTAGCAACCTCCTAATTTGAAATGTAGTTACATTTGATTGTTAATTCTTCTGCACTTTTCAAGCAAAAAACACGTGATTTGATAGGGTTAGGGTTATTTTTGGATTGGTACATTGTTGCTTTTGCTTAAAAAATATTGTAATTACTTATAATATACTGAGAATGATATTACAGATAATGTTTTCAAAGCCTTCAAAGAGTTGCAAAAAAACCTCACTCTCTTGCCTCAGCCAGTCGTTTTGCAGCGAGCTGACTACATTTCCCACAACCCCCTTCCCTCACGAAAATAACGCGTCATGAAAAACATGGCGGATTAGTTTGTGCATGGGGTCCGCTACCAGCTAGCTATCTTCGATAAATGTAAGCCTATTTCTCCCAGCAAATGAGATATTTTTGAACGGGTAAGTTATTTCAAGGTCATTTAATTATGTTGACGTAATTATATTACGTCAACAACGTATTATAAATGTAACTGCCTCAGCTTTAAAATATGAAGAATACGACGGTCCAAGTGAGGAGGACCCGCTTACTAAAAGTGTTGTCAAGCGAGTTTTAGTCCAGCTTTGTGTACCTTTTCGCATTGTCTTCGCATTATTATCTCGTTTTAATACTTCTTGACTGAGTTTAGGTTGTGTTAACGTATTAAAACTGCTGGGGCGTATTTCCTTGTGATTATCTTTACAAACTGTCAACGTCACTAGTCCTGTCCGCTGATAGAATAGCTGAGGCTTGCAGAAAGCTGCATGTATTCTCGCTATTGCTCCTGCATTAAGTTCTAACGTAAGGTAACAGTACTTTGTCGCACTATGTAGTCATGCTTACATAAATGCAAGCTAATCCTCATCAAAACAATAGTCTGTAGTCATAATTTCTTAAAATAATACAAATGGCCCCTCGGAAAGAAAGTGTATATTGTATGCATAAGTCAGTATTTCAATTGTATATCTAGATGATGTAGTGTCTATTAGACACGTCTATACAACAGTACATCTTATACAAGGCAAAATGATAATTGTGAAAGTAATTCTGTATTACCACGAAGTGTGTTTTATTCTGTAGTGTAAATCCCTTGAAAGTTAAATGTAATCTTTCAGAAAAGTTGTTATTAAAACAAACTACTATTACTTCTTACATGCGTTTGAAAAATATGGCAGCAGTGGTGAAGTGAATAGGTTAAAACATGGAGAAATATTTGCAAACGTTATTGGTATTGATTTAGTGATCTGAATGTGGTGAAATTAGCAGTTATACTTGTGCTGATAAGATATTAGGGGACGTGTCTTATAAGGACTGAGCACATGATAAGGCTAAATGTTTTCCACTCCTTATTTGCACTTTTAAGGGTTTTGTTGCCGGAATACCAATGCAGCTTTGACTTCCTGTGTGTTTTCAGGTCAAAATGTTCCGTCGGTCAAGATTTAGTATCCGGCCCAATGTTGGTGCTACAGGAAAAACAGCATCAACACCTCAGGAATCCCCTTCAGCAAGTCAGGAGACCAGTGAGACCCCTAAGGACGTTGGTGAGAGCTCCACTGCTACTGCTGTTACAGATAACCAGCCTGCTGTGACCCCATCAGAAACACCTACAGTCCCAGGGTGAGTGATAAGAATGGCATTGCTCGCCTAATATTTATGTCATCTACAAATAATAACTATTGTTGTTTCTTTATAGGGATGGTATTGACCAACATGTGGAAGGTACCAGCTCCTCAGCAGCCCTCCAGAGAAGGAAGCGGTTTTCCATCAAGCCTAAAGTGGCCCCAGGCCGCCCCTCCATTGCTGCTCGGAAAACAAGAACCCCTGTCAAGGCAGCCTCTGAAACCCCTGTTTCAGACCATGACAAGCCAAATACGTCCAGCCAAACTGGGACTGCATCAGCCCCTCAGAGACTGCAGTCCCCAAGGCGACGGAGACCTTCAGAAGAGAGCAAGCAGCAAATAATTCAACCCAAACCAACCACCATCCTTTCAGAGCCTTCAGTTGTACCTACAGCTGAGGACTCTACAGAAAATAAATCGTTGCTGGCAAACACTGGCAAAGAATTTGAAAAGATTTCAGCCAGTCAAGGAAATGAAGCTTCTTTCAGTCTCCCGGATAAAGTGCCCCTCTCTCTACCAGACAAAGAAGCTATTGCAATATCAGAGAAAGCCAGGACTCTAATGTCATCTAAGTGTAGGCTGTCACTGTCAACACCAGCGTTCTCCCTGAGTCGCCTCCTCAATGACCCTTCAGACTTACAGAGGCTTGCAAAGGCCCAAAAACTCAGAGACCTGCTCAGAGAGGAGATGCACAAAGAAAAGGTAAACTCAGATTATTCAGTAAGTATCGTTCTCCTCATTTTCTTCACTTTCTTAGTTTTAGTTACATACTTATTACTATTGTACAGTTCGACATGTATGTTGATTTGGTTTATTATCTAATGTTGCAGAAAACCAAGAGATTTAAGAAAAGGGAAAAGGAATTTGATTTAGATCCTGCCAAAATGACCATGAGGGACCTTATCCGTTATCTACCACAGTCCAACCCCATGACGTAAGTGTCTTCTCTGCTTTACTCAACGTTGTGTAACATGTATTCCATGCATCCTCTCTATTGATTATCCTTTATCTTTCTTCACATGAAGGCTTTTTTCTGGTTCCTTGTCCTGTGTGACCATCATTTGCAATTTTTCCAGATCTAGTTTGGAAGAGTCAGTTGTAGAGAATGAGACTGTGGTCCCACCTTCTCCAGGAGGAGAAAAGTAAGTTAAACCCATCATCTTTATCAAATGTATTTCCTTTTTTTTCTAATGATGTTGGACATGTGATCATAACGTCCTTATTTTTATCAGCACAATTACAAAAACATATGCTTCTTCTGTCCTGTTTTCTTGAAAATCATTTAAATACATCATGGTCTTTACAAAAGTGGAAATTGAGAATATATTTTAAACTCAAATGAGTGTAAGAGCCATTAAATGCGAAAGTGTGTTTTGTTTTATTAGAAACCCAATGATACATGCAAATTGTATAATTCTGATATGTTTTATATCAAACTAAAACGCTTGATGTGTGGACATTTTTTGACAGTAGTTTGCATTCCATACATTTTCCCTGTGTCTGATGTTTGCGATGTATCCCTGCAGTGTCCCAGAGAAAGTGCAGGAACCCGAGTTCGTCCCAAAAATGCCAAGCCAGAGTGAGGAGGAAGCAGAGGCAGAGGCAGAGGCAGCGGCGGATGAGGAGGAGGAGGAAAAGGAGGAGGAGGATGATGATGCTGTGATGGTTCCTCAGGTCAAAGTTGCAGAGGACGGCACACTGATCATTGATGAAGAGAGGTTGGTAGACTTCTACAGGACATATCATTATCTATCTACTGCATTCTTTCAGTTATTGTAGACTCAACAGTTTCATGACTTTGATAGGAACTGTCCAACATTGTCAACAAATGCATCCATATAGAGATAATGCAGATGCAGGAATCTATTGTGGTCTTAATCATAACCTCTCAACTTGTGTCTCAGCTTGACCGTGGAAGTCCAGCGAGCCAAAGGGCCAAATCCAGCAAATGATCGAGACCCCATCTTTGAGCGTGGCTCCACTACAACTTACTCAAGCTTCAGGAAAGGGACCTACTGCAAACCCTGGTCCAGCGAAGGTAGGAAGATATGGATAATAGAAAAAGAAACAAGAATGGTAATTCTTTTTTTACAGCATACATTTATTCAATGCCTTAATGTCATGATTGTTTGCTGTTTTTCAACAGAGACAGACATGTTCTTCCTGGCAATTAGTATGGTGGGAACAGACTTTTCCATGATTTGCCAACTGTTTCCTCTGAGAGCTCGATCAGAGATAAAGGTTAGTGATAATAACAGCTATGCATATGTTTATAAAACACAATGTATACTCATTACTCTTTTATAAAATGTTGTTTGTGGTAATTGCATTGATTTTAAACTTTCAGAACAAATTTAAAAAAGAAGAGCGAGAGAATTCCTGGAGGATTGACAAAGCTTTCAGTAAGACAATACTAATATAATATTTAATTACTATTGTTCTCAATGTGCAATACCTGAATTTATTTCAATGTAATATTTACTGCCACACTTTTGCAGGAGAAAGGCGCAAACTGGACATTGAGTATTTTTCTAAACTGTTAGAAAAGATACTGGAAGTTCAGAAAAACAGGAAGAAACTGAAGGCAATGGCTGAGAAGAAACCTCCAAAGGAGCGCAAGAAAAGAGAAAAGGGTAATTATACTTGTTTTCTTTTTTCAATAGGGAGTTTATATCCTCATAAGACATCATCTGGGCTTCATTTTTCACTTTTGGTCCTTTGTTTGTCTCAATTTAACAATCATCGGTTTCCTCTACAGGCCGAAAAAAAGCTGGGAAGAAGCTGAGTGTTGTGGAGGAGGAAGATGAGGAAGAGCAGAAGGAGAATCCTGATTTGGAGAAAGAGGGAGAGAAGGAGAATGAGGACCTCTGTAATGAGGCGGGAACCACTGCTGTTAAGGCTAAGAAAAAACGCAAAATAAAGAATACCTCGACTGAGGAACCAAAGGACAAGAAAAACAAAACGGATCAAAAGAGCAATGAACAAGGTACATATAATTATTTTATAAAAATGGTATTGATGAAACTTGTGGATATATATATTGTTGTATCGGCACAGAAATTGAAATGTTTCTTCGGATTTCTTCTTTTTCTTTCATATGCTCAGATGAGGCCTTTATACCTGGAGACAAAGAGGCAGCACTTCCTGAGGACTGTCAACAATCAGACATGTAATACAACTTAAAATATTGTTTCAAATAGAGTATTTTGCATCTTCAGTTGGCATTAAAATCCATGTTTTGCCCTAATATTCAGGTCTGAAAAGACTGAGGGAGCCAAGGATGGCACGATCAAGCCAGCCAAACTTTCACGAGGCAGAGCACCAAAACCACTGCTGCCGTTGGGCCGGAAGAGGGGTAAAAAGCCCCCACCTCCCTCCACCAAGACCAACGATGATGCATCAGTTAAAGGAGAGGAGAGTGTGATTGATGGAGCATCCACAGAGCAGGTTGTTATATTTTCCTTTTCATCTGAGAGTCATCAGATATTTCTTCATACTGTGACTTTGGCTCACTGAAAGTTATGCTAACCTTTTTAGGTAAAAAAAGATGCATCACCTTCAAGGCAAGACCAAAATAGTAAGTCAGCCAATAATGGTCATTCCTCTGAAGAGGAGGAAGCAACCGTTCAACCTCCAAAACCTACCAGGTACAATATTTCTGCTGTATTTTCATGACTCAGATTTCTTACATTGTATGCAGAAACAACACTATTTCCAAAGAAAAGACTAGGATATAATAAAACATAAGCAGCTCATCAGTGTGTAATTGCATTTTATAGGTATGGAAGAGTGCCTAAACCCACCAAGCCCTTGAATTACTCTGCCAAAGAGGCTGCATCCGAAACCAGTCCTGCCTCACCAGATGCGTCCACTGCTTCTGCTGCCAGGCCTAAACCCAAATCCACAGCCAAGAGGGGAAGATCATCAAAGCAGCAATCATCCCAAGAGTCCAAAAAGCCTAAATTAGTCACCCTCAGGGCTTCTCAGTCAGAATACAGTGATGAGGAGGATGAAAAGCAGCGAGAGGAAGAAGAGTTGGAGGAGGAGCAGCACACTGCATGCAGTCCAAGTAGGGACAGCTCTGCCCCCGTATTTGTGCCTGCCATTCTGCGCTCCCCACATCCTGTCATCTCAGAAGTGGAAGAGACAATGGAGGAGGTATGAAAAACTGTTTACTATCATGTCTTGCACAGATGCACACCCTCCATTCATTTTGTTTCATACATGACTAGCATCTTTGTTTTTTGCTTTGTGCATGGTTTTTCATTCCATAATTCAAACCCTCCAATCTGACTCCCCCATCCCACATATAGCTTGATATCTTGGCCTCTATGCCTGATGTGTTGGGCATCTCCCAAAATGCACTCTGCCCTGATGACTCTTGCGAGTGGGCACAAAAAGAAACGGGCACAGCTGAACCCTGCGAACATCAGCTGGACCTGCTCGTTGTAAGTGTCTTATAACTAAAATGTAATACCAGTGAAATTAAATCATTATCCTGAGATGCACTTATAATTCTAACATCTAATCTTAAAACACGTCATTTGAATCGATCCACATAATTTGATTAATTATTAAGGGTCAACATTGATTAAATGCAACCTCATTATATTTGAAAATCTCCTTTTTTTTTGTTTTATTGTATTTATGTTGCATACATACAATACAACTTGGATGCCTGGATCACTTATGTTGGCATCAAAGTTAGTTTTGGTACATTTTTCAATGAAAAAGCAAGACATTCAAGTTTCAACTATGTTGCATGAAGTCTATGTTGCAAAAGCTGGATCCCCTCAACGAAATATGTTGGTGTCCAGATGTAATCAATTGACTGGGGCTACTATAATACATGTTTTCATATACATCACATCCTTTCACAACTAGTCTGGCTTATTTGGAAAGCTTTTGATGTGACTGACAACTCCTTTGTCTCCCTTGCAGGATGTTATTGACTTCCTTTCTATAGACCATGCAGAAGGTAGGTTGAAGAGGTATTCTGAGTAGTTCCCAGTGGCAAACATTAATATTTTATATTAAGAAGTCAAAGTCTCATACATGTGTTGGTGCTCTTTTTTGTTTAAGTATCTGAGGACGAGAGCTACAATGAGGCTGCTCAAACCCTGTTGACCATTGGGAACCTGGCTCACCTCTCACAGTCAGCACAGAATCAAATAGCCATAGAAGATCAATTAACAGGTAAGAGACAAAGCAGACATGAGGTTCTTTATATTGCATTCCATTAAGATTAAATCACAATCATTTAAAATGTGCCACAATTTTTAATTACAGGGACAACATCAGACAGTGTGAATGAAACCAGCGAACAGCTAGAAGAAGAGGTTGCAACAAAGATTGATGCAGAAAAGGAAAACCGTGCCACTGCTGTTATGTCTGCAACTTCTGTTAATGAAGTCACAGAAATGTCCGAAACTGTTACCACAGTGGAGCTACAAAACATTATTGACAATAATGACATCCCCATTCTTGAATCCAGTGATCAGAGGACAGGTTCTGATATGGATCCTACCTCTCAATTGACCTCAAAGACAGATTCTCCACCGACCAGGAGAGCAAGATTATCCAAGGTGAAACCAAAACCTAACCTAGGCCAAGCTTCAAGGACTGCTCAGTCAAAATCACAACCGGCGACATCAACAGTAAGGGCAGCTGAAGAAAGCCCATCGGATGCTCCTGACCTTTCTCAAGCCCCTTGTCCTAGTCCTGCTTTGGATATGAAACCGTCAGTAGATTTAGCCTCTACTCCTACTCTCACAGAAGAACTCTCAGGTGTATCAGGTGCAACAACATCACAGCGGCGTGCCTCAGAAAACAAGGACATCTCTGAAGCCCAGTTTGAAATCAGAAGGGAACCAGACACGAGAGACACAAGGCCAACATATGGGTCAACAGATGAAGATATGATGTCTCATGTTGGGACATCTGAGATGAGTTGTAATAATCCACTGACATCTGACACAGTTGTCGCTGAAATGCAGATTGGACAAGGATCAAACAACGACTATCCTGCTTCATGTGTTAAACCTTTAGAAGAGTTACCTGTCAGTGAGAAGGAAAAAAGTGAAGTCAAATCTACAAGTCAAACAAGGAAAAGTCGATTCCAGAAAGTCAAACCCAATCCCAATCTAACACAGACATCAAGGTCCATACATTCTAAAGCTCAAACCTCAAAAGACACCATAGAGAAAGACTCAGACTCAACTCCAGTTACCAAATTCCATGAAAAAACAATAGCAGAGGTTGAAGCGGAGCCAACTTTCACCACCTCAACTGAAAAACAAAGTCAAACTGATGTTCCAGAGTTGACAGATGAAGTTCTGATGTCTCATGTGAAATCTGAGAGTAGATGTAATAATCCACTGGAATCTAACACAGCAGCCACATACTTGCAGCTTGGACAAGGGTCCATCAAAGGCTCTGTCCAAGAGAGCAAAGACCATCCTGCTACATGTGTGACACCTGTTGAAAAGTTACCTGTCGGTGAGAAAGAAGGGAGTGAAGTCAAATCTACAAGTCAGGCAAGGAAAAGTCGATTCCAGAAAATCAAACCCAATCTCAACCTAGCACAGACATCAAGGACTGTACGTTCTAAAGCCCAAACTTCAAAAGACAACGTAGAGAAAGACTCTGACTTGACTCCAACTACCAGATTCCATGAAAAAACAATAGCAGTGGTTGAAGCGGAGCCAACTTTCACCACCTCAACTGAAAAACCAAGTCAAAGTCACGGTCCTTCTTCAGATTGTATACCTTCATTGGATTTCGGGATAACTCTTAAACCTACAGAGGAACTGTCTACAACTGAGGAGAAAGAGACAGACCTTGAAGTTGTATCAGGCTCAACAACAACACAACAGAGTGCCTCAGAAACCCAGAACCTCTCTGAGGCCCAGTTTGAACCTAGTAGGGGACAGGAAACCAGAGACACAAAGCCAGCATCTGAGTCAACTGGAGAATCTGCTTCATCTGTTACACCAGTAATAGAGTTACCTGTCAGTCAGAAAGAAGCGAGTGAAGTCAAATCTTCTTGTAAGACTATTAGAATACGTTTACATCAAGTCAAACCCAAATCCAACTTATCACAGATGTCGAGAACTGCGCAGTCAAAGCCTCAAGTCACTAAAGACCCATTCCTACCCATGCCTCAGGCAGAGACATGCTCCAGCCCAACTTCAAGACTTAATTTACCTGACAAGACAACAGCAGAGGTAGAGGCACAGCCATCTTGCAGTACCATCCCTTCTGAACAACCTAGCCATAGCACTGCGTCAGTATCTGTACAATCATTGGAATTAGACTCCACTCCTAAAACCATAGAACAAAACAAAAATGTTGCATGTGAGCTAGAGTCAAGCTCAGAGGGCTCTGAACAAAGTGTTTCACAAAGAAGGCAACGCTTTCCAAAGGTCAAACCCAAACCCAATTTAGGATCATCTCTTAGAACTACACGCTCAAAACTGCAGTCAAATGATATCTGTAAACCAGCAGAGCAGTGTCATATGGAAACCTCTTTAACCACAGAACAACAGCCTTCTGATAATAATGACCCACAATCAGAACCCAAACTCCCAGAGACAGACAGCAAGCACTTAATGTCAACACAATGTTCATTAAATACAGATCTTAGCTGGACAATTTTGGATAAGTCATTAGAAAGCACAAATGATAAGAGTACATCCTCTGATGGCTTTGTCATACCAACTTTGTTGGTTGCAGAAAATCAGTCTGCGTCCACACACTCAGTTTTTGAAAATAAGAGTAGTGAAAAACTCACAGTAGAAGCAGAATCCACAGGGGACAAAATGTCAAATGATAAGGTAGAGGCAGGACCTGGTTCGCAAAGTGAGTGCAAACAGGACATGTTCTTTAAAGCTACAAAGACAATTACACAACCAACAGATGGCCCAGCAACAGTTTCCGATGTCCAGTCTTCAGGAGATGGTTCAACAGAGCCCCAAATTGACTCCATGCAATCTACTAATACACACTCCACACCAGATCCAAAAGAAAGCACTCAGGAGCCACCTCCAGAAAATGACCCCGAGGCACCAAGTCAAGATGCAGTTCAACAATCTTCTGAAACCAATGAAACAAGTGTCAAAAGGTAAGAAATGAATCATATCCCGGAATATTCAACTACTGTTGTCATGTTGCATTTACACGCTTTTGTTTTCCATTAACTATTAAGGAATGATTTGTTTTTCTCGTAATAAAAGTTGTTTTCCAATTACAGCCCTGATGATAAACAGCCAGAGCCAACAGACTCTCCCTCTGGAAAAGCTCCCCCGGCTCGTAGAGGCCGACTTATTAAACCCAAACCCACCCTGGGACGCAGCAGACGACCTCCACAACACGTCCAGAATACACCACAAGCAGAAGCAGGTTTGACCTCATTAAAAAAAAAAAGAAAAAGTTCTTACCTAAAAGAATGCTGAGCAGCTTTTCAAACTACTGCAATCTATTACCCTACAGTTTCTTTGTTTAACACCTATGGTGGTTCTTTTCAGCAGATGTTGGTATTCTCTCAGAAGGTGGGGATGATTCAGTTTGCCCCAAACTTGTGGCTGAACTCCTACCTGACATCCAGAAACCAGTAGAGGGCACAATTGATCAAAGTAGTAACACAATTCCCTCTCCAAAAGATGCTGATACTTCACTGGGAAGCTCAACAGAAGTAATTGAACAACTGAGTCAACATGAACCCCTTGTAGAGGTTTCTGGATTGTCTACTGGTTGCACGACACAAGTACCTGACTCAGGTACTCAGGTGAGATAATGATATGCATGAAAAGTTGTATCTTGAGCACTATGATTGCAGTATATTTTTGCGTTGAAATTCCTTATTGATAGTTGACCGTGCTTATGACATGGAGCAATATATTTTTTTTTACAATGTGTCTCTGAACCCAGTTTATATTTGATGGCAGTGATTCCCAATAATAGTCGCTTGTACCTCAGGTGGTACTTCTGCATTTGGTAAATTATGTATAAAAAGATTGTAGAATAGATCAAATTATTTGAAAAAACTAAATTGTTTATTGTACTAAAAAAATATTCTGTATTTTTTTTTTTTTTTTTTAAAGAACCAAAAGGAAATTATTTTATCAGCTGTAACAACTGATCACTAGATGTTGCATTTGAGAATGCAATACAAATAGTAGCTATAAATCAGTTACCTAAATGTTCATGGTTAAATAGTCCAGCCACTCAATCGCTGTACAACAACAATACAACTTTTACACAAAATCATATCGCATATACCTTTGAATGAGGTTGGAATATCATCCTGGTCAAGTACCTCTGATTAAAAGATGAATCCTTGATTGGTTCTCTCTGCTTTCACATTTCCAGGATGCATCAACATCAAGTGCAGGAGGGACCCAAGGTCATCCCAGCTTCACAATATTTCCAGACAGTACGTTGGTTGATATTGTAATGTTTATTAATTACAGTACATGCATCATGGTGGTGGCTAACACTTCTCTCACTCCCCCTCTCAGTGATGTTGCCTCAGGATCCTTCTGATCCAGATGAACCGTTCTTCATCCTCTCTCTGACCGAGATCCCAGTCAGCTCATCTGGGGAGGGGGTGGACAGTGTGCCTGAGCCCCTCCCTTCTCTTCCTGTAACAGATGCTCCAATAGAGCAACAGAGGTTAGTGCCTGCTGTTTTATCAGATGGTCATTTCTCTCATGCAGGCGTAGATGTGACTCTGTTTGATGTGTGATTCTACAACTGTCCTCCCTCCTCATCAGTGTTCCTGGAGAGAGTTTGGCAACAGTGCCTGTGCCCATGGAGGACAGTAATGAGACAGGCGTCATACATGTGAAAGACCCAGATGATGTAAGTGAAGTTACAAGGAACCACTTGTAGCCAAAATGTGATGAAATGTCTGTATGTGTCACACTTTTTATTTTCTCACACACACCAGGGTTCAACTGAGGGGAATCAAGTGGACCCACATGGTAGGGTGATTGCCTTATTCCGTTATTTATTTAAACTAATGACAAATGTATTTCTGATAGTAAATGTGGATTATTTGTGTTTATGGGAACAGAGAGAACTACAGTACAAGAGACTGGACAGAATAAAGATGAGACTGAAATTCCTCAGACAAAGGAAAGACAAACAGGCACTAGAAGAAGAGGTATGTGTTACTTTAATACTTACTTATAACATGCACTATCCTCATATTGGACACATCTTATTTCATCGTGTACCCCATTCTCTTAGAAGCGGCCAAACCGCAGGTGAAGCCCAAAACTACAAAGAGGAAACAAACCAGCAAGACTGCCACTGCTAAGAAAGCTGAGTCCCTCCCCATCCAAACAGACACCATGGTGCAGTTAGAGCTTCCTGGGCCTTCTGTGCAGCCAGAGGCTTCTGATGATACTGAGCCACAGAGAGGAAGGGCTGATCATGTAGAAGTGGAAAAGGAGACTCTGACAGATGTTGTGGACCCTGAGGGCACCAGCTCAGGAGCAAAAACTACACAGACTAGTAGTCGGAAAAGGTGAGGAAAAACAGTTTTAAGAAAAATCCTTTGTTGAGATCTGGATAAATCCTCCAGTTTTCATGTTGGTATATATCAATTGTACTTGAATGAGACTTCATTTCTCTTCCCCATTAACTTACAGAAAAGCAAAGGAATCTGACCCTGGCAAAGCAGCTTCTAAGAGCCCTAAGGTGAAAACTCCTCGTGCAAAAGGTAAAAAATCGACCCCGGCAGCTGTAGCCTCAACACCATGTGAAGTCACCCCAAAACCCGGTCCGAACACGGGGCAACATGCTTCAGAGCACAGCCGACCACGCTCAGAGCAAAGTCCTAGCACTTCCCTTTGTCCAGCTGAGGTAAGGATGACGGAGGTGGATAGGGAGCCATCTTGATTCAGTTCATTTTTTAACTCACCGATTTATCGTTTTTCTTTCAGGGTTATACTGAATATATGGAGAGCAGCTCTCTAGAGGAGGAGCCCACCAATGTGTCGCAGTACTTCCTAAGTGACATTTTTACAGATGTTGAAGAGGGGTGAAAGCTGTGAAGAGTCTGGGAAAGAGGAGGAACCCACGGGTGGTTTGCTCTTTTTACATTTCTGTTGTGTTAAGTTATGTCTGTAAAGATTAATGTATAACTAAGTTGCTTTTGCTGTCAGTTGTAATTAAATTAAGATATATTTGCTATACTTACACAAGCACTTTGAATATGTACAGTTGTTTCAATTGACTGAAAGTTATTTTTAAAAAGCCAGTGTCAAATAATTAATATTAAATTGTACAAATGAATAACTCAAAAACTGGTAAATCACTTGTTTCATTTAATGAGGATTTTTACAATAATCCATTATGTTTCACGCCTCAGATACCTTTTTTTAGTTACCTGGGAAAATGTAAATATTGTACACTGGCTTTTTTGATTGTTCTTTTTCATATCTGTTCCATGAAAAAACCCGGATTACTTGACATCATATACAGTTATATGTTTAAAAAGTATTACCTTTTTATAATGCCTCATCTGTGTATTCAGTTTTGTGCAAATGTTAATTCATCTTTTTGTATTTGACAAAAAACAATGTCTTAAAATGTGCTTTTCATTTCGAAAACTGAATTTTATCCTGCAAACACACCCCATGTAAAGTTAAGGTAGTCAACTTTTATTTAAAATAAGCTCTCATTGAGACATTTTGTTGTACTGTACATAATGTTGTTCAGTTCAATGTTAAAGAGGTCCTTGTACAGATTCAAAGCATTCTTTTTATTATGTTTGATACTTGAAACAAAGGCACATCATGTGTTATTGTTATGTTTTATAAGTTCATTAAAATAACACATGGAATTCTGTAAGGTCTGAATAAAATGTATTCTTCCAACACCGCTTCATTTAGTCTTTTATCTAAGATGCTGGTTTGCTAAAAAAATGTAATGTTGATGGAACTCATTTTAGATTTTCTTACAGATTCATACAAGCTCTAGAAACTAAAAGTACTGTTTGTTTGTGTAAATAGCACATTGGTAAGATACTGTTAATAGTGGGTATAGTATACTATTATGATTGTAAATGAAGCTAGTCATTGTTGCATGTGATACAGCTGACTTAAAAAAAAAAAGAAACCTAGGATTGATACTAATCCCTCATGCTGCAACCTCTTGCAGTGGCTTAAGACTGTGTTGATCTCCCTGTTGAGTAACTGCTCTGTCCACAGGTCCACTGTGGGACTCAGTCAGCTGTGAGATTAGTCCCCCACTCACTGTACTGCCTGCTGACCGGAGCGCACCTCTGAGGCTCTGCACAGAGGGAACATGAGCGATAACATCCAGGTTAGTCGGGAAAATGATTTATTTTGTATTTTTTGCATTGATAATTCATACATTTCAGTGTTTGTATGATTGTTTCTTTATTATTCAAGATATATATCATTTGATTTTACATGTTAATATCTTGAAATCAACTATTTGTTTATGATTTTTACTTTAAAATGTTTCATTAATCATTGCCAGTTTAATACATTATAGCCTATTGTTATATTGTTGATCACAATGAATCCTGTCATCATTGGGCTCCAGTGTGCCCTTTCTATTATTCGATGGTATTTAAATATGGTACAAACAAACCTTGTAATGTTATTCAGAGTCAGTTGAGTGAACAACAGGTTATGTAACCATTCAGGACCACAAGCAAATCACTACTCATGCACATGGCTTAGCCTCAGAAAACATGCCTGAAGTATGCAGCAGCCTTCTGATCCCTCAAGCTGTACCTCACCCCCCACACAGCTTGGTAATGCACAGTAAACCTCAAAAGAATGTGCCCAGTTAACCAATGGGTTACAGTAATGATGTCTATTGTGAAACTAAAATCCCTGCTGAGGCTGTTTATTATACCAATAATGGCAAAATGTGTATGAAGTAACTGATTTGTTATTCCAGAAGTTGGGGGTCCAGTGACCCCTTTCTCATTACTTCACCCCTGGTAACGGCACCCTTGCTCGGACGACAATCTTTGAACTCTGCTTTAACTTTGATTTGTGTACACACCTGGGAAGTTTCCTGTCTGCATCTGGAACAGTTGTAACTGTATCAGGGTGAGGAAATATGTCTATAGACAGACAGACAGACAGATATACGATCACCTGGCAACAGACTCAAAACCGCCTTGGTGGTATTTCCTGCTACAGTATGTCTGGCTTGCATTTTGCCATGATCACACACAGACTCATACATATACTCACAAACAATACCAGCCACACGCTGTGTGTCGCGGCTGGTGATAAATCTATCAAAATCACACATAGGTGCAACATAATATACAACTTGTATTGTTCACAACTTGTAAATATGTTTGTGTCATCTTGCCAACATTGCTGTGTGTGCCTCTCTCACTTTATGTTGTCATAAAACAAAGTGACAGGTGTGTTGTTGACATCAGAATTAAAGGTGACTTCAGACATGGGTGTGGTCCAAACCAAGGGCAACAGAACTTGGGGGTTTGAAAGAGGGGAAGTTGTTTTCAAGGACTACTGACGTTTTTAACAGTTTTCTTATATTGTAAATACAATGAAAAATCCTTCATTATCACAACACATTATTATGTCAACAACGTAAAACAACCAGCATTCTCAACAAGAAACTTCTCGTAAAAGATATTCTTTGAAAATGTGATATTGTGGATTATCAATACAGTATTTCGTCAAGGAATTCCATCGTTCTGTACACTATTGCTTGTTTTACCTATCAAAGAAAATATGTCATCTGGTGTGACAGACAAACACAAAGGTAACATTGTTCCAACAACAGACACCTTGTCATATCTTACCTTAATAGAGTTTAGCCCTGAAGGGTTCCAGCTGGACTTCATCCAGAGATTATGTGATGCACTCCCTGTCGCCCCATAGGGTCTGGAGTCTTATAAAAACCTTTTACCAGAAAGATCAGAAGGTTGTTTGTAAGTGACAAGGACAATAACAAAAAATGACTAAGCCTTTATATAATGGTTCGGTGGTCATTTTTAGAATTCTATATTACCAACAGTGAAATTCAAAATTATTACTCACAGTGTCTCACATAGCGATACATCAAATAACAAGATAAGCCAGGGGGCCCGATATGAATGTGTACCAAAATCATGTAAAATCTGCCAAAAAGCTGTCATTTTATTTAAAACAACATGATGCATTAGAGGAAAAAAGGGTTCAACCATTACGATACATTGCTTGGAAATCACACAAAAAAATCCCCAAACGATCTGTTAGCTGTTGAGCTAATGAAGTGGATGAAAAACCTGCTTGATGAAAAATCAGAGGTAGTAATCAGGCTCTATTCTCTGTGGACTATGACGTACAAAGTGTTGTGGCTTTCCTTCCACTTCAGATTCAGGTCTAAACCTAGCATGGCTAATAATTCAATGACATGATCTTTGGAATGATTGATCCTTTTAATCATGGATCATTCCTAGTACCAAGCACTTTTAGCTGTATGTCTTTCTTTCCAGTCAAAGGAATTTGAATATTCATCAACATGATTCAAAGAATATTCTGTTTCCCACTCATCTTGAACAGGAAGGAGAGGTGCTGAGGCAGATTGAGAGGGAGGTGCGGATGCGGGAGGGGGCCAGTAAGCTGCTGGCAGCGTGTTCCAGGAGAGAGCAGGCCCTGGAGGCCTCCAAGAGCCTGCTGACCTGCAGCGCCCGCATCCTGGCCTTGCTCAGCCAGCTGCAGAGGATGAGGAAGGCTCAGATCCTGCAGAGAGTGGGACACAGGTCAGATGTGTTGAATGCATGGGTAAAAAGAAAGATCATAGAGCTGTTATCAATTGGAGAGGGACCAAAGAATGTTGCAGTTTAGAGTGGAGGCAAGGCAATGTTGTGGACTAACAATCCTCCTACCAGCCACTAGAGGTCAGGCAAGGCAAGTTTATTTATATAGCACCTTTCAATACAAGGCAATTCAAAAGGCTTTACAAAAACAAAACAAAATTAAGAGCATAAAGAAATAGTGCACCGGAAACACGTTATGAAATGGCCATTTGAAACCGTCATTAAAAAGAGAAAAGAATAAAGTAAACATAGAACAAGCTCAAATTAAATAACACGGGTATAACATAGATTTAAAAAAGTTACAGTGCAGTGTGAGATATGAATAGTTCAATTAAAATCAGCGGCAAAAAGAAAGTCTTCAGCCTGGATTTAAAAGTAGTAAGAGTTGCAGCGGACCTGCAGGTTTCTGGGAGTTTGTTCCAGATATTTGGAGCATAATAACTGAACGCTGCTTCTCCATGTTCAGTTCTGACTCTGGGGACAGAAAGGTCACTTTTAAACACCCCTTAAGGTCGTTTTTTTGTAGGGCTCATCTGGAATGACCTTGGACATGTTGCTAAAATAAATGCTAAAATACTTATTCATACAATAAAAAAAAAGGTGAGTAACAATTGAATGTGATATAATCAAATAAATGATGATATTCAGTGATCTCTTTAAAGGACTCAAGCCTATTTCAGCACTTCATGTATAGGGTTGGTTTCTTTGAGAATACATTTGAACTTGGCTCTAAAAACACATGGTTACTATTGGGTTTTTGTCCCCATCTCTCAACAAGCCTTTGTTCAGATGTGTGGGTTTACTTGGTGTGTTGTGTTGATAGTGCATTTGTGCATGTCACATGTACTATATGTAATGAGGGACAAACGAGAATTTGAAACATGTAATTTCACATTAATTACACTGCGTTGCAGACATGTGGATTCAACTCAATGATATTTTTCTTAAGGCTGTCATTGGTGCTGTTGTTTATTGGAATCCTTAAGTGTCCCAGTACAGACTGTACTTATACGTCAGGGTTTATGTATGTGTTGATGATTTGCTTGTTTTACTGCAGGCCCTCTGAAGAGGCTGTGCCAAGTTTGGGAAAAGTATCCCTTTCAGGTGAGGGTTCACAAAATACATAGACCCAAATTCATAAAGATACCTGAACCTAGCTTTTATATTTTACTTTAAAAAAATCTGCCCCCTGTAGACCTGCGTGTCCCGCTGATGTGGAAAGACTCAGAGTACTTCAAGAACAAAGGAGGTGAGAAAGGATGTTGTGAACTGACTGCACTTATGTGAATGAATAACGTTTGATTGCATGCATAAAGTTCCATGGTTCACTTGCCAGATATAATTTTGTTAAAAGTTGATATAACTGCAAGTGAAAGACTGAAATGATTGCCCAACCTTTCTGGTATCTACGCAGCCCCTAAAGTCCTGAAAGGGAATATTTTTTAAACTTGTCTAATTTACAATCTTGATATGTATCAGAAACATTACCTTACAGGACATTAGTGGTTCCTGGTGTTTCTTTAATCTTGTGCAAACAATGTATTATAAAAAGATACAAAATATCACCTTACAGCAGGGGTGTCCAAACTACGGCATCAGGGCCAAATGCGGCCCGTGGGCCATTTTGAATCGGCCCTCAGCAAATTAAAAAAGTATAATGAAATATGGCCCACAAATGAAACTTGTGCTTTTCTTATATTGTACTTCTTAAATATATATGTACAAATATATTACACAGTAGTATTCACTTGTTAATAAGCCCACTTTTTAAATAAATTCAGTCAATTCACGGAAAACATTTTCTAACAAATCTTAGTTGATAAAAAAAGCCCAATGATTTATTTAAATAACAAGCTTGAAATAGACCCTTCATATTTCCCCTTATTATAATCACTCTGAGGCTTCTGTTTTAAGGGATGAGTTGCCAACAAGATAAATGAAACCATATAGAGAGCTGAGATGTAGGCTGTTTTTCTTAAAGGTCCCATGTCATGGCCATTTCTACTGTTCATAATTCCATTGTTGAGGTCTACTAGAATAGATTTACATTGTTCAATG